CATCCAAGCATGAAAGATGCCCCCACTCCTCGAGGAGGCAAACCAAATTATTAAAGCAGACTATAGAACCTTCCCTAAATCAAAGTGAACTTCTTCATAACATGTATTTTCAAGCCCAAAAGGAATTTGAGATGCTTAACCGAGCCTTCCACATGCATGATAAACCAAATAAAAATTTCCAAAGTTTCATGCTAGATAAGAATAAATGAAAAGCCTCAGAATACATATCCCAACATGCTTCCAAAAGGAGCCGACATCGTCTCAAAGCCACGTTTCAACCTTCTTATTCACAGTAATAGAAATATGTCATGACTTCATCTCAAGCAAGTAGAGAAAAGAGAAGTACTCAATTCACCACGCAATTGACCCAATGAGTATAAGAGATAGGGGCATTTACAAACATACCACAGTATTCTCCTGCATTTACAGCACAAACAGAACACCTTGATTGTAACCTCTAAAGCAAGTGAAATCCAATTGGAATGCATGTAAAAATTTTGTAAATCTTGCTATTAGAACTGCAATAACCATAGAATTACTTCCAAATTTAGAAAATAGCAAACTACACCATCATCCAAACCAGATAAGAGCAAACTACACCATCATCCATAGAATTACTTCCATATGTTTAACATGCCCCAAATAATTAAACATAATTGAAAGATATAATATGTAATGCAATCTAAATACCTTGACTTATGTCATTTGCTATTTGCTCTCTCAAACATGCCATCTCAGAAGCGCCTTCACCATCTGGTGTTTGTGACTCAGATGAATCAATATCGATTCGTGTGATAGAACGTCCAACGTGGTATTCAAATGCCTCAGGTGGTATTTCCATTGAATCCTCTTCTATAACAGAAAACTCTGCATCTGTCCGAGAATGATGTCGTCGTATGAAGTTGTGTAGTGTCATTGTTGCCACTACAATCTGGACTTGTTTTGGAAAAGGATAAGTTGACATATCACGTAGAATTACTCATTTCTTCTTCCAAACACCGAACGATTTCTCGATCACACCACGCAAGGATGAATGTCTTTTATTAAAAATTTCTTTCTTTCCTCGT